TTCGGGGGCTGTTTTGAATATTCGCCCCCTGAAACGCCCTTTTTAGACTAAGTTTTGGGCGTGTTCGGCTCTAAATCTCAACCTACGTGTCCGAATTACATTCTGTCAATTTTCACAAGTCCTATTTGTCGTGGAGAAGCTGCCTGTGAGAGTCACACGGTAGTTCAGGGGTAGTTTTGAATTTTTGCCCCCGAAACGCCCTTTTTCGAGTAAGTTTTGGGCGTATTCGGCTCTAAATCCGAACCTACGGGTCCAAATTACATTCCGTCAATTTTCACAAATCCTATTTATCATGGGGAAGTTGCCCATGAGAGTCACATTGTTGTTCAAGGGCTGTTTTGAATTTCTGCCCCCGAAATGCCCCTTTTCGAGTAAGTTTTGGGCATATTCAGCTCTAACTCCCAACCTACAGGTCCGGATTACATTCCATCATTTGTCACAAGTCCTATTTGTCATGGGGAAGCTGCCCATGAGAGCCACACGGTGGTTCGGTGGTTGTTTTGAATTTTTGCCCCCGAAACGCCCTTTTTCGAGTAAGTTTTGGGCGTATTCGGCTCTAAATCCCAACCTACAGGTCCGAATTACATTCCGTCAGTTGTCACAAGTCGTATTTGTCATAGGGAAGCAGCCCGTGAGAGTCACACAGTGGTTCGGGGGCTGTTTTGAATTTTTGCCCCGGAAATGCCTTTTTCGAGTAAGTTTTAGGCATATTCGGCTCTAACATCCAACCTACGGGTCCGAATTACATTCCGCCAGTTGTCACAAGTCCTATTTGGCGTGGGGAAGCTCCCCGTGAGAGCCACACAGTGGTTCGGGGGCTGTTTTGAATTTTTGCCCCCAAAACGTCCTTTTTCGAGTAAGTTTTGGGCGTATTCAACTCTAACTCCCAACCTACGAGTCCGGATTACATTCCATCAGTTGTCACAAGTCCTATTTGTCATGGGAAAGCTGTTTGTGAGAGCCACATGGTGGTTTGGGAGCTGTTTCGAATTTTTGCCCCCAGAACGCCTTTTTTCGACTGAGTTTAAGTTGTTTTCGGAAAAAATGATATTTTGTAAAAGTGAAATTTCAATAAAAAAAATTGTAAAAAAAATAGTCTGTGGAAAATAGAAAATAAAAAACTATTAATAAATTTGCATAATTATTTGACCTCACCAAATTTAAAAAGGTGGATTACCTCGACCCCCCATAATTTGGATTTGAGGGCACTGTTTGGGCCTGTGAGGCCCATCACGGGTTCTATTTCTAATCCAAACGATTAATTTTGTTGCGTATTTTGTGTATTTCATTAACACAAAAAGATAGAGCAATCCGTGGTTGTAACCAAAAAAATGTACAAAATTTGTGTTTTTAAAATTTAATCATCACTTTTTGTAATGACAAATGCGATAATTTGAAAAGATTATGATCATTTGAGCGACCTAATTTTTTTTTTTGTAAATAAAATAAACCTAAAAAAAATTCTGATTATCAAAACGGGATCAATGGTGCCCCAAAAAGTCCAAACAATACGGTCGAATCCAAATTATGGACTGGAGACACTCCACCTCCATTAAAATATTTATATTTTGTTTCCAAAAAAATAATTTAAGACTTCGTAAAACTCAACACAGTCATATAGTGTTTCCAAACAAAAAAAAAAAGAGTAAAACTTCCTAAAAACTCAACACATGCTTAATTTGGCCACCCAAAAACTCCCACAGAAACGCATGTTTTGGGGTTTTGGCATATCAGTCTTGTCTCTCACGTTGCTGGTCTCAGATTCTCTCGCCCCGCCAGTATGATATTGTCTTTGTATAAGCCACTGTTTGATCCCACGACAGAGCTTATTGTTGATATTGTTTGAGTCTAGGGTTTGATGTTTTTTTTGGAGACTTAGTTGTTTTTTATGAGTTAAATATGATGACATACTCATGTTTTTGTTCATATTACATATACAATATCCATTCGAATAAGAAAATTTTGAACTTCAAAATCTTCTACCATCCATTTCTTTCTTTTCTCAATAATAGGTAGGTTAGAGTTTTAAATTTCTCTGTCATTGATAAGTGAAAAGAATTTCAAATTGTGCAGTAAAAAAAACAGGGGAAAACAGAGATAAATGAAGAAAAAAAAAAAAACTCAACACAAAAGATAGGGGAAAACAGAGGAAACAAAGTAAGCCTAATTTCTGCTACGATAGTCCTTGATTATAGTCTTACCCCATATTGTCAAATCTATCACAGTATAACTACAAACTCTTAACTCAAGAAATAGTGAAACCACAAAAAATTAAAAAAAGGTACGAAGGGAGAGACTAGTTTATAACGCAACAAAACCATAAATTGAGACCTCATTGTTGCTGGAATAGTTATTTTTTAAATTTTATTTATGATAGTCATTAATCCGTACAATCCTTGAATTGGAAGAGAATGATTTGGAGTTAAAAAATGAGAGCAACAGAGGACCTCAATAAGCTACATATACCCATTCGAGACTCAAAACAACTCAGCCGCAGCAGTCCCCTAAGCTACCCATAACAATCCCCTAAGCTACATATATTTGGTATCAACTAGCAGCAGCAAAATGGCCCAAAACAAAGAAAAACAGCAGTAGCAGCAACTGGAACAAACAGAAAACAACAGCAGCATCTAGCCGCAACAACATCAAGCAGCAGCAACACCACCTGTACTTTAAACATTATTTGACCTGATTTGCTACAAGATGCAGATCCCAGACTGAATAAGAACACCCCTTCCAATGAGCATTGATCCAAAATGCCACTCTCGCCATAATCAACTCACCGAAGTCAGCGAGGCAAAAAGGGTATCCAGTGCGTCCCTCGTTGGTCGTCGTGTGATGATGTAAATAGTCCAAGCTTTAACAACTTTTTCTTTTTTTGTTATTTTTTTTGGGTTTCCAATTGTGCCATCATGAATTTGATATACCTAACAAACAAAGAAAGTGATTCCAACTTCCAAAAATTTGTAAAATGGGACCTATTTAAGCTTCCAAACAATTTGTAAAATAGGACTTTACAGATTAACAAAGAAGTCATGGGAACAAGTTAATGCCATGGGATTTTTCCCTTAAAAATGGAGAGGGATGGAAAAGATCACTATGAAGATTCATTTCAAAATTGACATTAGAGAATGGAATTTTAAATCCTATTCTTTTCTCTCTCTTTCCTCCTCATCCTTCTCTTTCCCCTTTTCCCTTTTTTGAGATCAAATTGGCTTTTAGCAAATAGAATTTCGGCATTTGGTGCCACAGAATATAATGTGATACATTTTAACTTTCAGTGTGCTTGTACTTGGATTTTCTGTTATTAAGTCATTTGGACATGTGCTTCCTTAAGTGCGCTAGGTTTTACTAAAATGGTTTGAACTTTAAAGACCAATTCTTGGTTTCAGTTTAATTAATGTTTCCTCAAAGAATAGCTCCAGGATATTAAAACTATTGCCAACATTATCTTGGGATTATGTTCTGGTAATTGAATGAGCATTTAAGTTGTAAGCTGTAAAATTTAGTTTTGCTGAAATTGCTAGACCTTAAGTTGTTGCATGTTCATGCTTCTATGATTTTGTGACCTAGTAATCTGGTTTGTCTTCTTTGTTTTCTGTCTTTTGGCTTGGTGAAGTGTCCTATGCTTTCTCATATTGCATTTGTGTGAAAAGTTTAAGGATCGTTTCTTCCCAACTGATTTCTAGTATTACTTGGCCTTCTTTTTTCCTTTCTATTTTTTTTTGAGAAACTTATCTTTTGATGCGAGTTTCAACTTGTGCAAAACCCTTGGATGTTTTAGATGTAAGTAAGTTTACAAAACCTCCTTGAGTTTATGTAAAACAGTTGTTCTCCAGATGTTGTCTGGTTCGTCTTCGGAGTTACCAGCTTATTTGGTTTTGTTTTTTATCGTAACCCCCATATTTTATTATTATTATTATTATCAAGCAAAAATTAAAGGATGGAAATAAGGACTAGATGTTCTTCAACACATGAAATTAGAGAAAACATGAGACGGTAGTAACAGTCCCCATCAAGTCATCAGTTGTAACTAGTGTGTGCTTGTATTATTGCGTCAACTGAATAAAACTAATCAGTACATTTCTTTTATTGTATTCATAGTATATATCTCTCTCAAATAAGGAAGGGGTTGTGTTTATTATTATTTGTCTTTTGGGGTGTATACTTTTCTTGCACTTACTAACTTGATTTTGCCTCATATGATTATTTCACCTTTGCTTATGTAGATAATATATAACAATACACAATGAGCGAAGGAAGCAACAAACCTTGCATACACAAACGATTTACACCAGTATTCTTCTTCTACAAGTATTATTTCTTCACACTATTCAATGTATTATTTTAATTACATGTTTTATGTTGGGTTTAAATATTAGCCCTTATTATACATTGGGTTGAACCTATAGCGAAGATGAAAACAAAAGCATGCAAGAAGCACAAATTACAGTTACCGACACGGTTTGCACATTGCCTACCTACCACATACTGTTTGCATATTTTATGTTATCTTTATCTTTTATGTTCTACTTGAATCACTTATATTTACTTTTGAGGCAATGCAGATGAAGAAGGACATATGACATCAATGGAGAACCCGACAGAAGAAAGACAAGGAGTACAAAGAGATGGACAGGTGGACTATTGATAAGCAAGCCAAGTTAGAAGGTCCCCTTTCCACAAAACCAATAAAGGTGAAATACAAAGAGAACAACAATTTATTGTTTTATTATGACATATTTCACACATTGTAATAACATGTTTGCATTTTCATATTCTCACAGAAATTGATTCACACACTATTCTGAAGTTATTGAAAGTGTCTTTCTTAAATTATTCTAATACCCACTATATTCTTTTTCAGTGGCATTTCAAAACGCGAATTGTCTTGAGATCAATTGTTAAAATAATAAAAAGATTGAGCATGGAACAACGTGATGCAGTTACTAGTAGTGGATTAGGGGGGCTTTTCAATCTCAGATGTATAAAGCTTGATCATGACCTCTGCGAATGGTTGGTTCAGAAAGTTGATCCCAAGACTTGTTCGTAGATGTACAAAGCTTGATCATGACCTCTGCGAATGGTTGGTTCAGAAATTTGATCCGAAAACTTGTTCGTTGAATGTTCATGGGCGCCGACTCCTCCTTACTGAACTAGACGTTCACAAGTTATTGGGCATTCTTGCCGAAGGCAAAACAATAGAACTAAAAAAATCTTCACAAGCATTTCCCAAGCTATTTGAAGAACTTGGAGTTGTCCAAGGACCTATCAAACTGAATGCTTTGAGAGAGTATTTGACCAAAACAGAGGGAGCTGGAGAGGAATTTATGAGGATATTTGCCCTATACATGTTAGGTGCCTTCTTATGCCCAACCACAAAGGATGTTGTTAAACAATCATTCATTCACCTCATTCAGAATGTGGATGGCATGAAGGATTATAATTGGTCAAAGTTCACTCTTCAATTCTTTGTTCGTGGTTTATGCAAGTACAATTCGAAAAGTCACTCACAACCAAATGGATGCTTATTTCTTATAATGGTATGCTTCTAACCAATTACAAATTGTTTTGTTAGAAATACTTGATTTCAATGCCTTTTTCATTACATAGTACATATTAAATTAATACATTTTTGTGATGCAGTTGTTTTACTTTGATCGTGTTGCCCCTAGTGGTTGTGATGTTGCTCGTGCTCGTTCGGTCCCCTACTTGGCTGATTGGGGTGATGCAGAAATAAAGGCGACACTAAAACTATTCCAAAATTCAGGAGGTTACCAGAATGAGGAGGTCATCCTTAGCATATCCTTTCTTTTATGTTTGGTTTTTGTTTGTTATTTTTCATGTTGAAATGGAAAACTAAATTGTTTACGATGTGTCTATAAATAGGTTGATGTTAATTTCGTTGTTGACGAGCAAATGCAACCATTTGTACAAAGTGAGGAAATGAAAAATATGAATGATATTCGGATTTCAAAAATTGAGACGACTGTTTGTGACATGAAAAGTGTTTTGGAAGAACTAGTTGTTATTGTTAAAAGTGGAATAACTAATTCTTCCATTCCGAAGGTCATGAAAAAATGTGAGCCACTGCAAATGTCAAAACAACAGGAACTGGGGCACAACCACTGTAAATGTAAAGCTGGCATAGTTGCACCTGGAGTTGTGGTAGAATCTACAGTTGTACCTATAGTTGAACATGTCACCCCTATACTCGTGCCAAAACCTAATGTTGTGGTTGAATCTACGGTTGTACCTACAGTTGAACATGAGAACAATACACTCCCGCCAAAACCTAATGTTGTGGTAGCATTAGAGAACATGGAGGAAAATAGAATCCCGCTCACACCATCCAACTTGCAATTGGATGCCCATCTTCATGAGCAAACCAAACAAGCGAAGAACAAAATCAAGGTAAGATTGAACAACAATCGAAGAAAGAAAATCCCAAAACTCCAACTTATAGTTCATCCATTGGTCCATATGGCGGTCCTTGCACTCAACATTCGGATGCGCAGGTGGACATACAGTCACCTTTTACTGCCATTGCTGGTAAGAAGAGGAAAGCCAATCAGAAAGTACCAACCAAGACAAAGCTTCATTTAGATGAATCAGATTCATCTCTCAATACAAAGGAGGATAAGTTTGATCAAGTAAGTCATGTACATAATATATGTGTTATACAATGTTGCTATTCTTGTAAATATATTTCAGGATTTTTCATTATTTATTGTTCGTTGTAATTTGTTTTAGAGTTTGAACTTACTTGGAAAACTACTTGGCCTCAGTTTTGAAGCATCTGCTACTGCCATTGAGGTTATTACTAATTTCATTATTGTTCTTGATCTCCAATCCCCTTATTTTAATGCACTGCAAGAAGTTTGACAATTTATTGTTTATGTGTTCGGTTAAATTTACAAGTCATCTACTACACGAATTGTGAGGCCATGTCCTTTATCTACTGAGGAACAAATTGTGAAGGCTTATTGTTTCGATAAGGATTTGGAAAGCAGGTAATTTTATTGCATTTGTATGTTCTCCTCTATCACCAATAAGTTCAACTCTTCAATTTGTACATGATGTAGTGAGGATATTGTGGTCATGGAGTTGTTTTACACGCCGGTTGAATTTGCCACCCGATTCGATTTGTGCTCATTACAACCAAAAACATGGATTTGTGGTTCCGTAAGTGTTCATTTCATGCATCAATATTGCTATGTGATGTCATTTTTAATGATATAGGTTTGAAATTATTATTTGATGCCTGTATTTCAGATTATTAATTTAGTTGTAGCACAATTGACAAATGCACAAAGAAGGCTCTTCCTCGATAAGTGTCATAGGACATGGTACTTTCCCACATATGTATCGGTGAGTAGTTTAGTCTGTCATGTTTATGTTTGGTTATTCATGTATACTTATTGATATATACTTGTGCATTATCAATTGTAGCAACATAGTATGAATGGGGTGGACCATGCAAAGCTATGTAACGAATATTTTGGGGAGTCACGATACATTGGGAAGCTTCATGCCTGTCAAGAAGTAATGTGTCAAGCATTCTTCCATTTTGCAGGATTATTATAAATATCCCCTCAATTTTACAATTATTTTTATTATTTATTAAATTTTTTAGGGTATCAACGTCGTCATTATTTTGTTGTTTTTTATTTTTCTAAACTGGTTGGGCAACGTGGCATGACCCTTTTTTTATTATTGCCACTTAGATATATATTTTGGTGAACGACCATGAAGAACATTGGTTTTGTGTCAACATAGATATGGCACATCGCATGGATTATATATTTGACTCGAGTCCCAGCCTTACAAATGACAAACGTCGTGAATTAATGGCAAGGAAATTGATAGGTCGTTTAATATATATTTTTTTTTAAAAAAATAATAATAATCAGCACAATCTATCTTACAATATTCATGCATAGGTTCAAACAATGCATTTGTTATTGCAACAATATTTTGGAGACCTTTATGTTGCAAATGTGAAGGAGTTTGAATTAGAGAGGTTGAAAGACGCTTGTCTCCAACATAAAACTGATAGGTATTCTAAAATTTCTTCATTCGCTATTCAATTTTGGCTCTCTTATTAACATTACACACAAGTTTGACATTCATATGTACGTTATCATGAAGCTATGACTGTGGTTAGGGTTGTGCATAATACCGCCAAAACCGCACCGAATCGCACCGAACCGCGCAAAATTTCAGTTCTGGTGGGCGGGTTGGAGGACCTGCAGTGGCAGGTCGGCGCTAGTGGTTGGTTAAATTTTCCAAACCGCCTGTCAACCCGACCCGACCCGACCCGCCTAGGTTTTAAAAAAAAAATTCCAGCTGTTATACACCCTCTCACACACAATCATTCCTCCATTAAACCTAATACCTACACACAGCCGCACATTTCGATTTCATCTCGTTCATCACATACACCCAACGCCGCTGCTCGTCTCCTTCCCTTGCGTTGTCGATCGTCTCGCCGCTGTTTCTCCTTCCCTTGGCGATCGTCTCCCGCTGGTTTCTCCTCCTCCTCGTCGGTACTCTCGCTACTCTCTCTCTCTCGATGCTCTCTCTGTCTCTTTTCTTTCACTCTCTCTTTGTTCTTTGTATATACATATATACTGCTGCTGGTACTGCTCTACTCTCTTTCTCTCTCTCTATATATATATCTATAGTGTTGTTGATTCATTCAATAATATTGTGTGTTATGCACAGCCCTAAATATAGTGTGTTATTTTGTTTATTTTATCTATAGTGTTCCTATTCTATATATATATATCTATACTATAGTGTTGATTATTTTTTTTTTTTTTATACACTACACAGATTTTTATTTTATTTTATTTATTTATTTTTAAATTTGAATTGTTAACAAGAAACATACATTCAAATCAAATCTGCTTATTTATTTTGATTATTTTCTTTTCTTTTCATTTAATTTCTCTTTTCTTTTTTCCGTATAAATCAAAATTCAAAATATATGTTTCATGTTTGTCAGGAAACATCCAAGCCCTTTTTTACCTTTTTTTTTTTTCTACTGAACTGCCCTACTTGTTATTACTAAAGAATCATGGCATATTAATTCAATTGTGAATGTATTTGTATGTGTTCATTCTTTCATAATTTTTATTTATTTTCTATGTCTAGCACTTCATCTTTTGTGTGTATTTCTGTATGGCAGATTAATTCACGGTCATTCATCCTTGATAATTTTTATTCATTTACTTATCATTCATATAATTTTTTTATTCTTTGTAATAGTGAATGGATGAGGAAAATACAAATGGTTAATATATTCTTTGATTCCAGTTTTATAATTTGAATTATATTGTTTATAAACCGCCAAACCGCCCGAACCGCCAAGGCAAATCCGCTATTATTTGCCAACCGAACCGCCGGTTTTTGATAAGAAAAATGGCAAATTCTAATGACATTTTTATCAGTCCACCACCCGCCATACGGTTTCTATTTTTCTCCTAAACCACACCGATCCGCACTGGGCACACCCCTAACTGTGGTATGTTTGTCATGAAGTATATGCAAGGTGTTGTCATGCCGACCGGCGTACACAAGGTGACTGTTTATAGCGATCCCGGTTGTCCCTTTACCGTTCTGTTGCGTTCTGGACTTGGGTTCCGTGATGTTGGTGGTGGTATACCTTGTTGTCATCCTTTAATTCCGCTTGATTGAGTTTTAGGATGTATTAGGCAAAGTTGTTACAGGTTGGTTGGGCTTTGGTTTCAATTCTTTGTTGCCCAGTTTTTAGGAGGTCTGCTCGAGCGGGTATTCTTGCGCTCGAGCGGGTATTCTTGCGCTCGAGCGGAGATTGCACGCTCCCAGTATTTTGGTGCTCTGCAGAACTTCTGCAAGCATGTTTTTCACGCTCGAGCGGGTTTCTTTGCGCTCGAGCGGTGGCGCTCGAGCGGGTACTCTGGCCCTCGAGCGGGTAGTACTTTTTGGTGTAATTTCTGGGAGGGGGAAATCTATGCTCGACCGGACTGGTTTTCGCGCTCGGGCGGATGTACTTTATTCTTGTGTCTTGGCGCTTGGGCGGGCCTTATTGCGCTCGAGCGGACCTAGTTTTTTGTTCTTGACGCTCGAGCGTTGTGTTCTCCGCTCGAGCGGGAATGTCGTATATCAGTTGGCAGCTGGGCATTTTAAAATCACTTTTTACATTCTCTCTCTCTCTCTTACTTTCTAAAAAGACATTTTGAGAGTTCCTCTCTCTAGAAACTCCCTTCTCTCTGGGGTTTGATCTAGTTAGAGTGTTTCCTTTTCCTTCGGTCTTTGTAAAAGTTGGGTTGATTGTCGAGGGCTACACTTTGATCCGAGAATATTGAGTTATGGAGCACATTGAGTTTCTTCATCTTCTTCCCTTGAGCTCCGATTTTGAGGTAGGGATTCGTACTCACTCTTATGGTCTTTGACATAGATTTTTGGTTGTTTTGATAAAGTGTTGAAGTTGGGTAATTTTGGGACTTAGGGTTTCGAAATGTTAAAAGAGGGTTTTGTTATTTTGATTCCAAGAATGTGTATAATGAGTTTCAAAATAATGATGTTGTTGTTAGTTGTTGAAATATAGACCATTGGGTCAATATTGGGAAATGTGGTAGAAAACCCTAATTGGTTGTATAAATTAATTGGTATGATTAATTTGGGAAAATTGTGGTTATATGGAATTGAGTTGGAAATAATGAAATTGGCTGATTATATAGTAAAATAGTGGAGTTGGATTTGTTAATCACTCACTTTTGAAAACATTGATATTTTATCTGTTGGAGCTTTTATTATCTATTTAGAAATAATTGCTTGGGCTACCAGTGGAGGGTAGTTTTGATTATTGTAG